CTGAAGGGCTACGACTGGAGCCTGGTGCCCATGCCCGTGCGCGGCGGCGGCGGCGGCGCTCTCAAAGCCAAGCCGCACGTGAAGCGGCCCATGAACGCCTTCATGGTGTGGGCGCAGGCCGCGCGCCGCAAACTGGCCGACCAGTACCCGCACCTGCACAACGCGGAGCTCAGCAAGACGCTGGGCAAGCTGTGGCGGTGAGTGCCTGTCCCGGGCGCGCTTGGGGGACAGTGCCAGAGAGACCTGGGGAAGGGAGGAGATGGCGGGTGCCTGGGGCCGCTCCCAGGGCGTGTTCCAGTGGAAAAACACCCTTTGGCCAGCAGAGATGGGGCCAGATCCTGGGGTCTGGGCCCGCAAAACGCAGTGTCTGGAGTGTGCAACCTTAACCACATACCCCGCTCCAAGGGCTCCCTACTAGGGGCTGTGCCGGCGCCTCACGTTGGCCCAAGCCTTGGAAGGTCTGCTGGGTACAGGGTGGGCGCAGCGCTCCCGCTCTCGGGGTGCCCCCTCTTAGAAAGGGCTGTCCCCCAAGCCCGCCTTAGGGAGGGGGCAGGGAGGGCTGCGGTGAGGCGAGTGTAGACCACCCCTGTGCCCCAGTGGGGAGAGAGGTGTGAAGTGTAGAGGGCCCAGCCCAGCGGGCTGTGTGCACACCCTGGCCGGTGGCGCTGGCCCTGCTGCAGGAGCAGAGCTTGGCAGAGGAGAGCCTGCTGTCGGGACTGCCCACCCCAGGCCCTCCGCTTGGGGTCAGACGGACGGCTTCGTGCCATGTCCTGCCCCTCACCTGATGAGCAGCACGTGGTGCTTGTGTCTGTGTCCCTATCCTGTGTTGGGGCTGGCGCCCAGGCGTGGGCTTCATGACTAGACGGTCCCCTCCCCGCAACCCTCGCTCTGCAGGCGGTTAGAGGTGGCCTCTCCGGTGAGGCTCGTGTGCTCTGAGGCTCCTGGGGCAGGGGTCTTGCCAACCTTTCTGGAGATGCGAGAGCAAGCCCCAGCTGCCTGCCCGAGGTGGCAGGGTTCCCAGGAAGCCTTTGTCCACGGTGGGGCCAGTCCTGCCTGCTGCCCGCCTTCCTCAGAAAGCCCCAGAGGGAAGGGCCAACGTGGGTTCAGGAGGAAGGGAAGAGGTGTGGCCGCTCCCGTGGCCAGAATCCGCACAGAACTGCCCCTAACAGGCTCCCGAGCTCCAGCCTTCAGTTCCCACGGGGTGCTGCCCGGAACCCCAGGAGCTCCAGTACGGCAGGCTTCGGGGGGCAGGGAGCGTGCTCCGGTCTCAGGGTGGCAGGGCGCCGGGCCCTTGGGCTGTGGCGCCGCGGCCACCCGCCTGTGCGTGTGCCCCAGCCTGCTTAGCGAGAGCGAGAAGCGGCCGTTCGTGGACGAGGCCGAGC